TTAGAGCAGGGGTAGGCAACCTATGGCACGCGTGCCGATGGCGGCACGTGAGCTGATTTTCAGTGGCACTCACTGCCCGGGTCCTGGCCACAGGTCCAGGGGGCTCTGCATTTTAATTTAATTTTAAATGAAGCTTCTTAAACATTTTAAAAACCTTATTTACTTTACATACAACAATAGTTTAGTTATATATTATAGACTTATAGAACGAGACCTTCTAAAAACGTTAACAAGTTTTACTGGCACGCGAAAACTTAAATTAGACTGAATAAACGAACACTTGGCACACCACTTCTGAAAGGTTGCCGACCCCTGTTTTAGAGCTTTGTGTTTTCTACTGAAAAGAGAAATGTAGTAGGAAAAGATACCGTAGTACTACTGCTGAGATATTGCTACATGGCACAACACAGGAAAATTGATGGATAATCTAAACAAACCCTCTGTGACCAGTATGAAAAATGATTCTGTAATTTATAAATTGTATGATGGTTTTATAGATAAATACTTAGAGCAAAACACCAATCTACATCACTGTATTAGACTGAGAAATTCACTTTTTATTTGCTCTACAGTACGGTGTTTGATTTGCATTGGGTTTTGTAGTTAACACTTTCCCCACTAGACATATATTTTACATTTCAGCCACCCAATAAACTCTACTATTAACATATTTCCAAAAGATAACAGGAAACATAATCTATCAGGAAGAAACTTCCGGAAGCAATCATTTTGTGGAATTTTCTAGTCAGTGTTTCACCATAACACACAACACTCACATCTATAGCACTGCGTGCTCTTTAGTTAGGGGTAATGAGGTACACTGAACAATTACATCCTAGGGTATTGAAGAGCAAATACTATAACCAAGTTACGCAATAAAGTCACACTTTAACTACCATAAATAATACCAGGTAGCATAAATGTCTGTTAAAGCATTAAGATATGGACTCAGATGTAGTTAACAGACGGCACAATGTGCATTAAAGCCTTTTAAAGAAGGCTAACTGTCTAGAGTGTGCTTGTAGCAGCTTTCAGGAAACAGGCTGCTTCAGCCCAAACTCTGCTGACTTGCGGACTCCCTGCAGGAGCCTAAAGCCTGTAGCAGCTTTCAGAAAGACATCTGTTTTAATGAGAGCTACAGTCACATATTGGGCAGGACATTTGAAGTCATCACAGTTTGGGGAGGTGTCTGTCTCTTCAGACAGAAGCAGATTCTTGAAATCTTTATTTTTATTTTTTATCATATCAAAATTTCCAATATTTTAAACCTTCCCCATCATCTATTAAAAAAAAATAGCAGTTCAAATTTGTCAACTCTCTTGGAGAGAAGACCAGTCTCTCTCTGAATTGCACGGAACTGGGATTATCTACTCTTGTGAATTAGCTAGGGTGCAGAAATATATTTCCCAAAAGCTGCATCAGGGTAAAATATTTTCATTCAGAGTCAAAGCTAGTCAGCCTCAGCTGAAATAATGAGAGAAGTTAACACATTGCCACTTTTCATGAGCATATTGATATATGAACAGCTAAAATAGCTAAGTAGTTTCAAACTCTGCCATTTTAAAGATACAGTAGAACCTCAGAGTTACGAACACCTTGGGAATGGAGGTTGTTTGTAACTCTGAAATGTTCATAACTCTGAATAAAACGTTAAGGTTGTTCTTTCAAAAGATTACAACTGAACATTGTCTTAATACAGCATTGAAACTTTACTATGCAGAAGAAATAATGTTGTTTATACATGAAACAAGCATGGAAACAGTTTCCTTACCTTGTCAAATCTATTTTTTTAAACTTTCCCTTTATTTTTTTTAGTAGTGTTTGTTAAACACAGTACTGTATGCTATTTGCCTTTTTTTTTTCCTGCTGCCTGATTTTGTACTTCCGGTTCCAAATGAGGTGTGTGTTTGGTCAGTTCATAACTCTGAGGTTCTACTGTATGCTAGATACACTTGGTACAGAACTACCATCAGTCAGTTTACTCCACTTCTTAAAAAATAGTTCAAATTTTAAAACCTTGAGTTTGATAAAATTGTTATGTGGGAGAGAGGTGATGTTTACCATATACATTTAAAAATCTCTTTAAATAGGAAAAATTTCAGAATAAATGCTCACTTTTGCATGCTTGCCTCTGAAAATTTGCCTATTATTGATCCTTTTTTGGATTATATCCTTTCATAAATAAATGTTAGAATTATGAAACCAGGCAGTTTAAAATCAGATGGCATAGATGTCATATTTTATGTGTATTGTATAGTCATACTTTCAGAATGGTGTGTGCTTTTTAAAGAAAACAAACAAATAAATAATGGTGAGCTATTTGGAACTTGCATAATATGCCAAATGGAAGATATTGGTTATTCTGTCTCCACTTGTGGAAACAATCAACCCCTCACAACCCTCCATTAATTTATTCTTACAGACATGTCTAGTTAGACACATGGAAAACATAGGATGGGCTTTTAGATTCTGTGGAAAGATTTCTGGTGGTCAAAGATTAGATTTTAAATCCTGAAACTCCTTGGAGTAAAATCCCTGGATAAAAGGTCAGTCAGAATCAATGAAGTTGTTCTGAGGTAGATAAATTGAACACCTTACAGTTTCCTCTGGGTCTCACCTGACCCATGGATCATGAATTGTCATTCTGCAGAAGTGAAGATACAGACATGCCATTTATTTCCTTCTGCTGGTCCCCTATCTTGGTGCATTTTTCTGCACCTCCTCTTTGACATGGAATAACTTCCTATTTCCAATTCTCCAAGCAAACCATCCTTTCCTTTATCCCTCCAAAAGCCTCTTATTTTTAAACCCTGCCAACAGGAAGTGAATGCAAAATAATATTTAAGAAAAAGAAAAACATTGCAAGTTAGCTCTGGCTTCCAATGTAGCCCATCTCCTTTATGTCTGCCTTCTACAATTTAAGCTCCATGAGGCAGGGACTGTTTTTATACTTGTCTTATGCAGCTTCAAGCACTCTGTAGGCACGTAGCTAATACTAATAATGTTGTTTATTTCCATGGTTTAGTAATCTTCATCTTGGATTTCTCTTACAGTATTTAGTAGTGTGCTGCAAAGGCAGTAAAATCAGATGATATTTCATCCCTTTTGAACACAGCTATTATTATTTTTAATAAAACATTCTCCATAAGATGTGGGAAAATAGATTAGAAGATAACATTGATTTGCAGACTATAACTTTAGTAATGGGCTATTCCCAAACATACAAAGACAGTAAAGGAAAACTGAATCAGGCAAAAGAGGAATTACTATAAGAACCAACAGTGAAGTAACTATAAGAATAGCAAATTAAATTTCTTTAGATTTGGGACATGATGATTGTTTACATTACAAACTAAAATAATAAATGTATACCATTCCCTGCCTTGAAAACTGGAGATTCTCTTTCTTCAGCCTGGCCAGCTATTCACTTGGCTTGATCAACTGAATTTTTATGAAAAAACCTTAACTCTTCAGTCCACTCACTGGACAAGACTGGCTTCCACACCAACCCAGGACTCCATGCAAACTACCTTAACAGGTTTCCCTTTCCTCTGAGGAAAAGCTTCTAGAATCTGCATCCTGGGAGTTTTCTTTGGCAATTGACATGCAGCTAGCATAATACTCTCTGATACATATCTTTAAACTTCACAAATAAATCCATATCACGTATTGATGTTAAAAAAATACTGTGAAATACTGCATTTATAATATGCTGCTGTACAATGTGCATCTGTGGGTTTTCATGTGATAAAATTACATTACAATATTTTGCTAATGAAATAATGTTCAGTTTTTAAAAAAAGACTTCCTCCCAAAGCTTTTAAACCAATTATAGAATTTGTAGTATTCAATTGGCAGTATTCTAGTGGTACCATTATATTTGGGATGAAATACTAAAACAGAAGAAAATGTACATAGCTTGTACATATGTAATTTATCTTGGTATTATTTTGGGTAGTAATGGTAAGATTTACTAAACTTAAATTGTGTGCATGAAAAATTATTTTTGAAAGTTTTTTTACATTTGAAAAGAATTAATGTCCAGTCATTAGTGATGTCAGAGATAAAAGCCCACCATCTGGAAACATAATAGTTTGCTGATGCAAAGTTACTGATGTGTGTAAGGACTGGAAGGATTGGGACCACCTTTGTTATCTGATAATTACTTTGAGGTCTGAGAGTGCCGCATGCATACGGACTGCAGACTTGGGTTTGAAGATTATTAAATATTATTTATGTTCAGATATTTGTACATGTAAATGACTAATATTTGTACATGAACATGGCTTCTAAAGTCTATATGTAGAGATTATTTTGCAGAGAGACCAATATTTATTTGACATATTTTTGAATTTATAATAGTGCTTTAAAGACCCAATCTTGCATGGGGTAGTGTGTGTGTAGGGGCAGTTGTGTCCACAGAAGGCCCCAGAGACTAAATGGGGGTTCCATACAGTTATGACAGTCTGCTCATGAACTACACAATATAGGACTGGGGTCTAAGGCAAATCTATTTTCATAAAAACAAATCACCTGAGTGCATGGAACTACAACCACTGAGCACACGATGAATTACATTTATATGAATTCAGGAATGTTTAAAATGCTTTTGGTCTTAAAATATAGTTAGAAAAATCAAACAGTTTTGAGATCTTTCTTCACTTTTTGTCTGTAATGCTTGTCTGTCTTACTGTATAACCAGAAATGGCTTACCTAAGTGTTGAAATCTAAGCATTAATAGTACTGCTGAACTGGGTGTTTAAAAGTATAGTTTTGTATAATAAGCACAACTTTAAGAAATGTAATTATTATGCTTCCTGGAAATACTATACTGTCATAAATAAAAAAATATGCAAGTTAGCATTTGCTCAAAATGTTTATGATGGAAGTATGATTAAAGTTAATTTGCAATAAATATTATGGAAAACTGGAAAATAGGCAATAATTTTCTTAATATATTTGATAAAAATAATAATAATATACATATTTCTATTTTACAGTTACCTGCCATGGTTTGAGGTATACTACAAGTTGTTAAATACTCTGGCAGATTATTTGGCTAAAGAACAGGTACTTTTAGATATTTGTTTATTTCTAATAAAATATTTTACTTGAAATTAATCGTAATAATTTTAAATCCTACAAAACTGTTTCATACTGTCTGCATGTTTGAACAATGTATTTAAAATTTGCAACAAAATAAAAAATGTATACATTTTAATTTTGCTAAGTGGCCAGGAAGTTTGACATATCCCAATGTTATTTAAAAAAAAAATTGGATATGCTGCTGCAACTATTACGTGGATGTCATGTATTAATTTTAAAAAGCTGCTGAAAACATCTACAGCGAAGTGTCAGAGTCCTTCTGTAAACAAATCCTGGGCTAAGTGTGAGCAGAGTGTCAAGCCACTGGAGAACTCCATGACATGTTGATTGTTAACCAGATAGTTCCTGAGATTTGGGGTTTATCAGATAGAAACACTTTTTCTGAACTGCATTAGATTTGATGTACTACTTTGCCCTTCATATTAACTAAAAACTACTTCATCATACTGTCATCTTGACTAGAAGGGGGAAACTGCTTGCAGCACTCAGTGAAGAATCATGATAGTTTAGTTTGCATATTCATGAGCAATTAGATATATTCACAGGATTGCGCAGGAAAGAAAATACTGGCATCTGTCTTTATTAAAAGTATTAAAGATATACTTTCCTGTTTCAAGTATCTTGGTATACTAAATGTAATTTTTAAAAAGAAAAAGGTTAGCCATATGCTGTTGGCTGCAGATGCTGAGATTGCAAGAATATATGTGCAATAAGTATACCTATTGGAAACAGGTTAAAGAAAACAATAACATTTTATATATAAAGAAAATATAATAGCCCAGTTGCATTAACTTAAGTAAAACAGAATGTAATGGTCACTGAAGTCCCATTGTTAGCACATTAAATCATATTAAATTTTGTTTTGTCTTAATCTTACTATTTAATTGTAATAGGGCTTTTTATTGAGGTCATGCTTGAATGACAAGGCTCATGCAGGGCAAGGCCTGTCTTTACCTTTGGGTCTTTCCCAGTGCTTGTTGGCACTAAACAAATAAATAGTAGTTCAATGTATAGCTGACAAAGCTGCAACTTTATTATAGTATATGTTAAAGAACTCTACGCTTTAGTGGGCCATAAGTTCTTTCTGGCACTGTACAAAGTGCAAGTATTTGATTTGGTGTGCTGCCTCGTCCCCCGTCTCTTGGACTAATAAATCTATCAGAGAGCTCCTTGTTGTCTCCCTGACCCAGTCAAAGATCTAAACCTAAGGCCTTATTTGCTAATACCTGAGTAACTCCACCCATCTTTGCATAGAGAGATGACAGCCCTCTTCAGACAAATTGAATAAGTTTATATGAAAGTTGAATGTACATTTCTGCTGACATGTTGACCCTTTCTCCACATTTAGCTTGATCTCATTAGCCGAACTATTTTATAATATTTCAAGCTGTTGTGCTTTGCCTGTTCAATTTAGGACCGAATTTATGAATATAAAAATCATGATCTAGGTTCCATTATCATTCCTAAATACAATTCCAATTTGGAAACCAGGTTGTGACACCCTAAACAGATCCAGTAACAAAAAACACATTTGAGTTGTGTTTCCACAGCAGCTTTATATGACATCTGTATGCATTCATATGTAGTGCTCTGCCTAATTATGTTTGCGTTAATGCATTTTGGGAAATTCAGAGGTGCTATCCCATAGTCTCAGTAGGGGTTAAAGTGCCTGTAGGACATATACATTGAGTGCAACAAGCAATCCAAAGGGAAATGCATCCTGTGATGTCCTATTATATGTAGAGGTAGGAGGAAAGAAGACTCAGTCAGCTCAGTAACACAAATGTGATTAGGGAGTCTTGTCTTTGAAGCAACATAAGTATAATGACCCTGGTCAGGTCACAGAAAGACAACCATGTGGCAGCCTAGGCACATTAACTGCCATGGTTGTTAAACTTGTGCTAACCATGTTGTGTACAGATCCAAGCCATATGTAGAGTACACCATATCTTTGCTTGATTATAAATTCAGTTAAATGTTGTACAGAGAGGTCCCAAGGCTAATACAATTTTAGAAAGGTGTTGTCAGGCCAGATAAACTGCGTTAGTACCATTTTTAGCATGAGCCGTTTTGAAGGGGTTCAAGTAACATGGTTAAATTACATGTGCATATCAGGAAGTGTTGAGAAAGAAAATAAATGTTAAAGAAACTGACTTTAGAACTTGCAAGAAATGCTCATTCTCTGAGCCATAAAAGTAGTTGTGCTTGTACTTTAATATATGGCAGTTGCACTATGAGATGAAGTTATCTGTGATTGAATGAAAATATATTTGTTAAAATGGAATATGTATTATTTGTATATGATTATTAAGTACTTTTTTTTTAATATTTCCTGTAGGAAAATGACTTGAATGATATGTTAAAATCACTGTATAGCCACCCTGTGCCAAAGGCAAACACTCCTGTCAGTTTAAACGTGGTAGGTATCCTGTGTAATATCTCTTTATTGTAAAAATTTACAGTTTCTTGTAGTCAAAAAACCCAGACAAAACCTGGGTATTGGTGCTAAATTATGAATATCTCATCATATTGCCTCCTATTGTTAAATGGTTTGCCATACTGTATTCACTTACCATGTAAAAAGTGTATGTGTGTGTGTGTGTGTGTCTGTCTATGCAGACTCCAATCCTAACCTAGCAGAAATTGAGGTTTGCTGCATGGGTAAGAGGGCAAGCTACCATAGCAACTGGCAATGCTACTCCCTATCTTGTTCGTTGCCTGCTGCCTCAGATGAGTATCTTTAGTTACTCCTGCTGTGGATCAAGATCTGTGCCATGGCTTCTGAACACCTGAGTAGGGAAGGGTATGTCATATGTCAGTCTGAGCTTGGCTTTTCTACTGCCTGCCTGCAGTTGCCCCCTTTTCCCACTTGTGCTTGATCATGCCAGGGTGGAATGCAGAAAAGAAAAGGAGGGTTTTACTGAACTGTGTAAAGATTTCTGCAGGTCCAGGCCAATGAACTTGCACACAAGTAAAGTGATGTGGGAATGTGTCCTGAAATTGTAGCGGATTATGGCTCCCACAGGAACAGCAAAGTGTTGCACTCATCACTTACTGCTATCATATTGGATTTGCTTTTCAAAGAGTACAACTCCCTGAGATAGGGTGACCAGATGTCCTGATTTTATAGAGACAGTTGGGATATTTGGGGCTTTGTCTTATATAGGCGCCTATTACACCTCACTCCACCCGATTTTTCACACTCGCTGTCTGGTCACCCTACCCAGAGGTCACCTTTCATAGTTAATATTTTTCTGGGTGAAATGGTGTTTTTTGCTAAAATATATACTGGTTGGGTAGAAAAATAAAGCAGCATGCCAAATGTGGGCAAGTTAATGTTAGATGAGAACCACAACTTTTGCAGTTCTTGACCTTTTTTGTATTTTGAATTTGTAACATTAATGAAGCATTAGGTTGTACGTTTTTGGCATATAATATATTGCATTTCAGATGTGTGTTTAGAATTGTATAACACAGTCATAGAACTTCCCCAAAATACCTACGCCATATCTTTTAGAAAAACATCCCATCTTGATTTAAAAATTATCGGTGATGGACAGTCTACCATGACTCTTGGTATGTTGTTCCAGTGGTTAAATACTCTCACTGTTAAAAATTTACACCTTTTTTCCAGTCTGAATTTGTTTAGCTTTGGCTTCCAGCAGTTGGGTTGTGTTATATCTTTCTCTGCTAGTCCATTATTAAATCTTTGTTCCTCATGTAAATACTTGTAGAGTGTAATAAAGTCACCCCTTAACCTTCTATTTGTTAAGCTAACTAGATTGAGCTCCTTGAGTCTACCCCATAAGGCATGTTTTCTAATCCTTTAATCATTCTTGTGGCTCTTCTCTGAACCCTGTCCAATTTATCTGCGTCCTTCTTGAATTGTGGACACCAAAACTGAACACTGTGTTCCAGCAACAGTCACACCAGTGCCAAATACGGAGGTAAAATAACCCCTCTACTCCTACATGAGATTCCCCTGTTCCATCCAAGGATCGTATTAGCCTTTTTGGCCACACTGGCAGCTCATATTCAGCTGATTATTGACCATGACCCCCAATCTTTTTCAGAGTCATTTCTTTCCAGGGTAGAGTCCCCTGTCTTGTAAGTGTGGCTTACATTCTTAATTCCTAGATGTATACATTTACATTTAGTGGTATTAAAATGCATATTGTTTGCTTGCATCCAGCTGACAAAGTGATCCAGATTGCTCTATGTTATTGACCTATCCTCTTCATTATTTACCACTCCCACAAATTTCGTGTCATCTGTAAACTTTATCAGTGATGATTTTATGCATTCTTCCAGATCATTAATAAAAACATTAAATAGCATCGGGTCAAGAATTGATCCTGTGGGTCCTGACTAGAAACACTTCTGTTTGGTGATGATTTAGTGTTCGCAATTACATTTGTGACCTATCAGTAGCCAGCTTTTAATCCATTTAATGTGTGCCATGTTAATTTTATATCTGTCTAATTTTTTCATCAAAATGTCAAAAGCCTTACAGAAGTCTAAATATATTACATCAACACTATTACCTTTATCAACCAAACTTGTAATCTCATCCCAAAAAAATCAAGTTACTTTGACACTATCTTTTTTCCCATATAACCGTGTTGATTTGCATTAATTGCATTACCCTTCTTTAATTCTTTATTAATTGAGACCCATATCGGCTGATCCATTATTTTGCCCAGGATTGATGTCAGACTGATAGGCCTATAAATACCTGGGGCATCCTTTTTACCCTTTTTAAAAATTGGCACAACATTGGCTTTCTTTCAGTCTTCTGGAACTTTCCCAGTGTTCCAAGTTTTATTAAAGATAAACATTAACAGTCCAGTAAGCTCCTCAGCCAGCTCTTTTAAAACTCTTGGATGGAAGGTATTTGGACCTGCTGATTTAGAAATGTCTAATTTTAGTAGCTGCTGTTTAACATTCTCCTGAGATATTAGCGGAATGGAAAGATAGTTGTTGTATGATATGACTGCATAATCTGTTTTTTCCCAACTACCAGAATAGAAATATGTATTGAATACTTCTGTCTTTTCTGCATTATTATTGATAGTTCGACTATTTCCATGTACTAATGAACTAATTCTGTTATTAGGATTCTTTTTGTTCCTGTTGCACTTAAAAAAAGTTGTCCTTTACTCTACTGGCCATAGATTTCACCTTGTGGCCCTTTGCTTCCCTTATCAATTTTCTACAGTTCCTATCTTCTGATTTATATTCATTTTCTAAAAGGACATCCTGTCTTGATTTAAAGTCATTGAGAGATGGAGAATCTACCACGTAGTATTTGTGCCAAATAGTATTTGTTGACAATTTGTGCCAAATTTCTAATTTGAATTTGTCTGGCTTGAGCTTCCAGCCATGTGTTCTTGTTATACCTTTCTCTGATTGATTGAAGTCATTTAGTATCTAGTATTTCTGCCCATGAAGGTACTTATATACTGTAATCAAGTCACCTCTCACTCTTCTTTTTTTTCTAAACTAAACAGATTGAGCTCTTTGTCTTTCACTATAAGACATTTTATCTATCATCAAATAATTTTTATGGCTCTCAAATTTTCAAGTTATTTTAAAGAAAACAACCAAGTGGAATATATTTTAGAAAATAAAATCAATATATCATTTAATACTACATCTCAGCACTTTTTGCAAGAGTATTGTAGTATTGTATTGCAAGAGTATTGCAATTTACATTCTTCCTATTTAAAATTTCTACTCTAGTCACAGTTGGATATAGCAAGCTTCTTCACCTGTCTTACCTCTTGAGAATTGCTACTATTCTCTTTTACAGTTGTTGCATTTCATCTTAGAGAGATTGCCTGGGTTAAAATGGGGTCCAGGCTACTTTAAAGGGGTGGGGCTTTATCTGGCCAGCAGCAAGAAAGGGGTCGTGGCTTCTCGAACGGTTCCCCATTTCCTTGGGTTAAGAGGATGGAGGGAAGAAGTGGGATTAGCTAAACTGTGGGCTGACTGGAAGGGAAGCTATTCCTTTGGCTATCATCCCCTGGCCATCATCCCCTGCGTGTCTGGGGGAAGGAGAGAGTACTGTGCTAAACAATTTTTGCTTTGGAATCCATTTAGATGAAGGGATCTTATATAAATGGAGACCCAATGCCAAGTGCTGGGCTGCAAATAGAGACAGGAAGTGGTGTGTGACCAAATTTTAGGACCTTTAACAAATAAACAAATGGACTAAATCATCAAACTGAGTGAGAAGTCTTTGCTGAACCTGATCTAGACCCATGTGCACTGGTAACTGCAGTCTCGCTTAAATTTTTATGTCTGTTTGTTGTGTCCCCTTTTCCCATATTTAAGTGGCAAGGTCTTAAACTGTGGATACTAATAGATTTAAAATTAAGTTATATTCTGAATAATGACTGTAAAAATGGCACTATGGAATTCCATGTTTACTGTCCCTGAGTGGGTCTAGATCAAATTTCTTGGTGCAGAGGTAAAAGGATGCTGACAGTTGGAAAAAACACCACAAACTCATTCTGGGATCTGGAAGCCAAGCTGTGTTCTTTCAGTCTCACACATCAGCACTGGTAAAAAATACATTCTTCAAATGGAACTTACCATATTAAAGCATTCTGTCGGTGATGTGAGCCAGAATGGAATCCAGGTCACACACTCTCAGGCTCTGTTTACAATGCTCTGCAGCCCAGACTACTGAGGTGTCAACTACATGCAAACTGCCCCACTTGGATGATACTGGTGCAAACTAAAAAGTACCTAGTTTGTGCTGTAGTGTTTTGGAAGCACTACATTACTGTGAAGTAAACATCTTTTAGTTTGCACTAGCAGCATCCATACAGGGCAGTTAGCGTGTCCCTCTTTGGTGAGCTCTGCAGTTCACAGCCCTGTAGTTCACTGTGGTGCCGTGTAGACAAGCCCTTTGATGTTTGGCCTTGTATAGCTAACAGGAATAAAACGTAATAATGGTTCACTTTTGTCAGAAATGTCAGCCAGTTGTGGTCTGAATATACACAGGTAACAGATCTGATGAGTGAGTCACTCTTTTGACTATTACCACAATTCAAGCCTGTCCATTCCCCTGATTACATGTACATTGAGTGTGTGGGTCATAAAGCTGCACCGTTAGATAGAACTTTATTGAGAGGTGGTTGAAAGTTATGGACTCTTACTAATACCTATATTTCAACTGCACTGTGATGCTTTTATATCACAGTGTGACTGCTTTGATGCCAAGGAGGTGAAATCAGATCTATCCAACCTAGGAAATTTGTTTGAATATATGGAACCAAGGTCTGGGTGATGTCCTCATTAATTGTTAAAAAATTAAAGTCTAACTCCTAGGTAAACACAAATACAGCACACAATGTAATGAGATTTTCTACTCTATCAACCAACAAAAATACAAAAAAAACCCAATCTTTAACTTTGCTTAATCACCCTGCAAATACATTTTATGCCCTGCCATTTTATACATGGCTATTATGCATTCTCTGTTGATCTGTTATAGTATTTTAGTTGATTATATACAACAAATGAGTCTTGCATTGTTATGTAGAAGGTCAGAACCTGAAATTCTACTGATTAAGTCATTTGACATTTTCATTCTTCTCAAAATATTATCGCATATTGAAATCTTTGCCCCAGTTACTTTTATAGTTAAAATATTATGAATCAGATTTAATTTTTTGGTTTAAAAAACAAAATGTTCAATTTTTCTCTCATGTTGCATAAGAATCAAGAGATGTTTTTTGCAAGTGAGCAAGTTCTGAAAAATCAGCCGTACCTAGTATCGGTGAGTTTAAAAGAACTGGCTACCTAAATCCTACCGATGAAAGAAATAATTACTTGCCAGATGATTTCTCTGTTGATTTCAGGCTGTTCATATATGGTCTTTTGGAAAATGATTATTCTGTGGCTTTCTAGTCTAAAAACCCAATCTTTATTAATATATTTCTGTTTATACTGACCTTATTCCAAAACTGCAGTATGTGTGAATTATAATCAGACTGCAAAAACCAAACAAATTTTAAAATGGAGATGATGGAATAAATACCCTACATTTATTCACACTTCCACTTTTTAAATAGCAGAAGCATGATAGTGGCCAGCACTTGTTAATTGCATACCTATTAAAGATCTTATGTGTCTTCCTAAGAGACCTCAGAATAGGTTGCAGTACTCCAAGCTATATTATTTCCACTGGAAATACAGTAGAACCTCAGAGTTACCAACACCTCGGGAATGGCGGTTGTTCATAACTCTGAACAAAACGTTATGGTGGTTCTTTCAAAAGTTTACAACTGAACATTGGCTTAATACAGCTTTGAAACTTTACTATGCAGAAGAAATTATGCTGTTTAAAAATGAAACAAGTATGGAAACAGTTTCCTTACCTTGTCAAATCTATTTTTTTAAACTTTCCCTTTATTTTTTTTAGTAGTGTACATTTAACACAGTACAGTACGCTATTTGCCTTTTTGTTGGTGTTTTTTGTTTTGTTTTTATTTCTGCTGCCTGATTTTGTACTTCCGGTTCCAGATGAGTGTGGTTGACTGGTCAGTTCATAAGTCTGGTGTCCATAACTCTGAGGTTCTACTGTAGCTGATTATGGCTCTGGTGTCTGGCAGTAGTGGGTGATGGCTTCCCATAGCACATCTCTGCTGTTCTGCTCATTGAATTGATTATTTCTCTGTTAACATTATGAGCAGTTAGAAAATCATTGATTGTTTCACTTCTAAATTACTACTGAATAATACTCTGTAGCCTTAAATACTCTGTGTTTGTGGGCAGTGGGGGAGGAGAAGAGAATTAAAAGTTTGGTATAAACAGAAAACAGAGGACTTTTTCATTGATCTGGGTGTATTCTTGATCTTTGCAAATGGAAAAATAATTTTCTTTGTCTTTCATTACTATATTAATGCACATCTGTATCTTGATTTATTTATTGTGCACAGGGCACAATGTCATGTAATGCATTCTTTTTGTATAGCTAGTGTGTGGACTTTTTAGCTAGTGCCAAATAAGCTAATTATTGTTAAGGGGAAAATGTTCTTTAAATCCATCAATCTGGTGCAGTAAGATCTTCCTACATGCATATAGTAAATAGCAAAAATAAATTACATTTGCTGATTAAACACAAGCTACATTAAAATTTTTATATACTTTTATATATTTCATCATGTTCTAGTTAATCTTTTTAAAGTTTGACTAGAAATACATTTTATTTTTATATTGGTTGTTCAAAAATCTATATCTAGATCTAGATATAGATATAAACAGAGGCAGTTATTTTAAATTGTAGAGTATATGCTCACTAAGAAAATGGGATAAATAAAGTTTTTTCTCCTACAAGATTTAGGCTAGGATACTAATGATATGTTAAACTTATTAAACCAAATTCATTCCTTGTTTAAGTATTGAAGTCACTGGATTAATATAAATTAGTGAATTATGGCTGTACTGAGTTTGATCTGGTCTGTATTTACATCCTGAATGTTGCTCAACCTTTAAATATATAAAGTTGTATAAGGTTGTTAATATTTGTCATAGATTAATGTGGAAAGTCAAGTAGTCTTATCCTAATTTCTGTTTAAAGGTTGTTGTGAAATTGAGGGGAACTGTACCTGCAATAACAGTCTCTCTGTCCTAATGAATTTATTTTCTTAGGTGAATGATTTTTCCTCTTCCAGTCTAAATTTAGATTTTGTTCTCTTGTAAATTTTTGTGGGGGGAAACCAATTTGTCAGAAACCCTTAATCGTTAGTCCCAAATTGAATCTGCTGTTTCTTACGCTCAGTCTTGACACAGTAATTAAAATGTGCATAATTTCAATATGACTCTAAAGCAATGGCATGTTGATTTTTGATCTGCTGAATCTTTGGTGTTCTGGTCTGCTTTATTTTATAATATATACACACACAATTTGTATTCTTGGTCTCTTTCTCCACAAAATATTAATTTTGTTTTCCCCCCCATTAATTAGCATTCGTACTTCATTACTCCTGATCTAACTGGATTGCCAACAATCCCAGAAAGTGTAAGTATGTTTTTTTTTAAATATCTAACCAGCAGTGTTAACCTTGTTCGATGGGTGTGGCTGAATTAAATTTGTAGTTATGGTCTATGGCTGGGCCTACAAAGTTAGAGCCATATACTGCTTTCCACAGAAGATCTCATACTGGTGTCAATCAGAGGTTTTTACAAAGAATGAGGGGAGAATACAGCCTTTGTCTAATAACAGAATCTTTAGTCAGTGAAAGAACTGCTGCATTGAGCGTCATCCAGTGATAAAGAATTATACAAGGTATTTTTATGACTACCACTATTTCTGTACATTGTTTGAACATTTGCACGTTCAGTTACCCAATTTGTGTGTGCATTTATGGTAATTATATATAGAAATCATGCCTGCCACTTATGCACCTGAGTTATTTGAATATCTGGCCCCCCAAAATTGCATAATTAAATGCCAGAATTAACATCCCATTGAGATGAATGGAAACAATTTATTTTTCTGAGTGCTGTTGTTTCAAGCTACCTAAGACACACGTGTTCACATTTGGAAGGTCATCTTGACAGCCCTAATGGTTAAAAGATTTTTCTTTGTTTAAATGAAGGTTTGCATTCTACAGAATTCAAATATGTGATGGAGGCCAGATAAATACTGTAAATGTAGTGTCTGTGATCTTCAAGTGTGTGCTTGACTGCATGTTTAATAACTAGCCATTGAACGCGTAGCTTATTTAAATAGACCACCTTCTTTAAATCTTGCATTTAAATGTGGGATCAAGGGCATTCATGCTATAGCCGGCCATTTGCTACAGTTTTGAAATTATGATCTCCTCCTCCTCCCCCCCCCCGCCCAGAAAATTAAGTCTGCTCGGTGGCATGAAGAAATTATGTGATGCACATAGCAGAATATTGATTCACTAAAGTATTTCAAATCTGCGCCTGCGGTTGATAGATGCTGTGATTGTTGTGAAAGTAATGCAGTACATTTTTATACTGTTCATAGGAAGGAAAGAAAATGGAAGTAGAGGTGCCTTTCTCTACCCTCTCTTTCCCACTCATTCCATTTGTAACTGTGTCCCATCCTTTCAGTCTAAGAAGTAATAAGAAGCTATGATTTTACATGGGGAGTAAATAAATGGGGGCAAACAGTAGTAAATTAATAATAAACTCTAGTCCACTAATTCTTTGCTGTGAAGCTTCAAAGTATTGCAATGAACATGTACATTTTATATTTTAAAATATAAATAAATTGACAATTTTTAGCAAAAAAATAAATAAATCTATATAGCAATATAGAGTGCTTTATTGAAGTGAAGAGCTAGATGTACCTTTTGACTGTTCTGCAGCTTTAGCAACACAGAACCGCGATATAAATAAGATGCCATGCAGCTAGTCCTTGGTAAATTAGAATCAATCCAGTCATTGTGGCACACATCTCTCTCAGATGGGATATTAAAATGCTGTTCAAGAGCCATGGTTCCTTTCTCCACACAACAGTTTGGGTCCTAGCAGCTCCTGCCTTCATCTCTTTCACCAGCTCTGAGCCCTGATGCCCCAGGGGCCAGGCATTACTTTTTAGGCCTTCTCCTGGGATTTATTCAGTATGCCCCAATTTATGTGAAATTGGGCCTTTCACACAGTTGCATCCTCGTGCTTTGAAAATGTCAAGGCCTTACCTTGCAATTTTTACTCACTCGCCTTTCTCTACCCCACACCACAAAGTACAATCACAAGAGAGAAGGTGACCATTCTTATCCACGCAAAATGTAAACAAATGTTTATTTATTTAAGGTTTATTTGCAGTATTACCCCAGTTCTGGTGCACAGGAATTTCCCCACTCTCTTTCCTGCCCGGTGCGGTTTGGCAGTGATCTTGCTCCGCTACCCCTTAGAGGGGGGTCTCAGCATCTTCTCTCATCCCCCCAGTACACTGAGGGCACAGCACCTGTGGGCCAACCAGTAGAGTTGAGAGTAACATTAATCATCATGCCCCTGATCTTTTTGGCATTGTGAGAGCCTGGCAGGGTAGCACACTCTGATGTCATAGCTAGACCAAGGGAGAAATTCTACAGGTGTGGAATTGCAGGAAACCTGAAATAGGGGGGAAGGTTTGACCATACAATTGGTTGGGGGTGGTGGAATGTGAGATGGACATCAGGAAGAAACCCTCCCTGCACTCTGAGCCCTCTGGCTGGCCAGTGATAGTTGCTTTCCTGTTCAGTGTAGGACCTGTGAAATTAAGACTCATTGTCCCTGACCATGCAATCTGAGACACCCACCCCCCTGTAATTAGTGAACCATGAGGGCAGACGCTGGGCCACACCATCCGTAGAGGCTGGAGAAGCCTAACTGACAGCTGTGAGTCCCATTTGGGTTCCTTGTTTCCACCAACCATGGCATACCCTAAACCGTGGGACTCAGCCTTTTATGGAGTAAATGGTTACCCTGTATAGGTACTGCCAATGGCTAGCTGTCAGGATGAAATTAAGGCAGCAGTCTAGTCAGATCCATTCTACCATTTCACATTAATAAAAATACTAGTAGCTGAAAGCCCGTGCTGTTACACAGGTGTAATACATATTCATGCATATAAAAGCTGAAAATGACTGAGAACTTAAAAAAATTTACAGTGACAGACCATAAATCCCAGGTAGTGGTGGTGTGTGTGGTTGTGTTCATTTTCATTTGGTGGGGGTGGGGTTGTGCTGGAGATTTGTGTTGGTTCGTGCAGGTGGCAGATCAGAAGTGTGTACTGCGGTGAGGGGTTATATATATATTTTAGTTATTGTATGTGCTGGTTCTGTTGTTGTGTGGGTGATTCTGCAGAACAATGGCAGCTGGGCCAAATAATCCACCATCTATGTAGTCTCCTTCATACAACCAATGATATTGTTGTGTGCATATTAGCTATAGAGTAAGGCTAATGATTGGTTGAGTTACCACTGATATCACAATGGTCTAGGACTCTTGGCATGGTATACATATGTGCCTTACTGTAGCTGGATGCCACATGGGAATAATTTGTGATGTCAAAATGGCTGAGAACATAAAAATTTGACAGTAACAGACTGAGAATCCCAGTGATGACTGAACCTGGTGATATTCTGAACAAGAAGTGCCCTTAGCAACACTTGTAGCTGTTTCCAACGCTTCACACTGACTCAACAGACATTTTAGGCTTCAGAGTGACATATGTTGACACACCTGGAGTCTTATTATACAGATTAAACTTCTTGGTTTATACATTAATGAGGAGGAATTTACTAACGAGACAAGGTGAGTGAGTTTATATGCGGGCCAACTTCTGTTGGTGAGAGAGACAAGCTTTCAAGCTTACAGAAGTTGGTCCAATAAAAGATATTACCTCTCCCACCTTGTCTCTCTAATATCCTGGGACCAAGATGGCTACAACAACACTACATACAATGAGGAATTTACTAGTTTAATTTACTACGGTTGGTACTAAGTCTTTGTGAATGCTTTTGTATATATTTTACAAAGCAATGCATTTTTAAAATTTTTAATGTATATTCACCTAAGGCCCAGGATGCATTCATACTAAAAACCCAAAATATAAATAAAAATGAATAGCTGTTTTAAACAGAACTAGCACATATTGTTCCAAAGTTTCCATGTTTCCAAATTTGTTGAAAATACAAAGTTCCTCTCCACCCAGAAGGATAAGTAAATATACAAAATGAAGAGACGATCTTAAAGTTAATTTTACTTTGTGTTTAAAATGGCAAGGAATTTTGTGAATGCAGATATTTAATGAACAGACATGTTTCTCTGGCAGGATTGATTTTCATTTGTATTGTAAGAAATTCTATAATGTACAAAATGTTCCACTCAATTACCGTTGTTAATATATGTTAACATTTCTTTTTTTATTTATTTAAACAGAGAAATCTTACTGAATATTTTGTTGCTGTGGATGTGAACAACATGATGCAACTTTATGCCAGTATGTTGCATGAGAGACGAATCATTATTACCTCTAGCAAACTAAGCACTGTAAGTACTTCACACATCTCCTTTTAAGTAGAATATATTGAGCATTTCATAAAAAGACCTTCAGACCTCTGCAGATTTAGATATGTTCCATGTGTACTTGTAAGACAATATCTACATACTTTTTTGATATATGGTTTTAATCTGGCTCTTGAAGTACAAAAGTCTGATTTATATAAGACCTACTCAGATACATTAAGTCAGGTTAATTATTTTTTCTTATCAGGAGATGAGAGTTCTTTAACTCTCCAGAGTTCATTTCTGTGCCTGCTACCCTATAAAGAATTCTTAAGGGCTATTATAAGATCTTTATTATTCACTTGTGGCTTATTCCATTGGAGCTACTTGAAGGAAATCAAGAGGCCATGATAATAGCTGCTATCCTAACCAGGTAATAGGTAGATTCATCTTTGTTGCAGAGTAGTGGTTTGGGGTATATACTGTAATAGCTCTGATTTGGAACAGCTCTTGTGGCTGATAATAATTTACAACTCAAAATAGCATTTTTATTACAGGTTTTAGGGTACTGCCTACATTGAAATGTTTTTCCTTATGTCAGTATAGACTGGAGAAATGAAAGAATGTCTATGTTTGGTTACAAAAACATATCTAAATATTCAGATATTCTTTTGTTTTAAACATTGAGATTTTCTTATAGTTTGCATGCTTGAGAGGTTAACTCAGGTTGCAAGTGACTATCATTTTACAAACCAATTTGTGTTATAGTATTTATTTGTCATTTAGTAGCTTAAATCTTTTGTTAAAACTCAGTCACAGAAAATCCTTTTATTTCTTTTAAGCAGTGCTGGATAAAGCCTTTTATCTGACACATTTTTCATAGTAGTAATTCAACATTACTAAATTTACTAAAGAGTAAATGAACAGTTTTCTTTGGGAGCAGGATTTAGATGCAGTTTTAAAAACACAATTCGGAGCAACTTTTCAGAGAGATATTATGTTATGTAATATTTTTTGAGATCTCGGAAAATATATGGTATATAAAGATTAATTTAAATTCCATTGAGCCAAAAAGGAAATTTTGTGGGGTGGGGAAAACCCTGTGTTGCGAAAGGATGCTAGTAAGTAGCAGCAGTTCCTACAATTAAAAAAGAAAAAGAAAACATCACAAGTCCCCAAATATACAACTTGTTGTGTGGGCTGCAGCATTGTGCAGAGTCCCATGTGACTTTAGTGGGTCTTAATGCAAGCACATCAGTTCACATGCCTCAAGGTGCAGGAGCAGAGCCAAGCTAAATAACCCATAAATAGTTTGTTATTGAATGAGTGATGTGCAGCTTTTAGAAAGCAGTTGATGATGTAAGTACTGTAAGCTTGCAAAAAAAAAAATTCTATTAAAATCCCAGTGCCTTTGACTTTTAAAAGCTAGATCTTTTTCTTTAAATTCAGACTAGACTAGAATCTCCCATTTCAATCATACAGTCCAAGATTTATTTCAGTTTATCTAAAACGCATCCATCGAGAGTAGTGCATGTACAAAACTTCTCAATAAAAGTTAAACAATAAACAATTTTAACTGATGTCCAAACGCAAAGTCCTCCCAGCCTCCCCTACCCCAAACCAACGTTTCACATCATCTGCTTCCCATCACTTCACCCATCCTCCCTCCCTGAAAAAGCCTAGGAGACCAGATGAGCATCACACCATGAACAACAAATTTGGACTTTGTCAAACCAATGAGGGAAGAGACTTCTAAAATGGTTGCTCCTTCACAGAAAACATCTTGATCCTCATCCTCTAGGCCGAACAAACTCTGACCTATATTCTGAAGTCCAGAGGAGGTGGACAATACATAGAATTAAGCCATTTTTGCAGCTCACCAATCCAGCTGCGTGCTTGGTCCCTGATAAGAGATATAATAGCCATAAGGGTGCAATAAATAGCCCCAGTGATGCTCTAGGAGAAGAGATGTGTAGGAGTCACTGTGGTGTTCCTTATACCCCCTACAAGAATCCTGTATTAGTCAGTTAAACCAGGTTTAAGTCTGCTTTGTGGTGGAAAGCTTAATGGGATGTATAATCTGATCTGTTTTTGCCTAGCTCCCTTCCATTTAAGACCAGGGCTGTTAGCCTTCATATCTCAGTTGATCTCAATGGCATAGTAAGACACTATGATCCAGGAACCTCTTAGTTCCAACTGGCAAGGGGCACAGAGGGGGCACATAGAAGCTACAGGAATCTCCTGAGTCTGATATGAACATTCTAGTTCACCAAAGAATGTCATGTGAGGTCTCAAATAAAAGCCAGTATCACATGCATCATCAGTATCACTGTGAAATGCATGTGCAGATGTTGTGCAAGGAATTATGTGTATATATACAGAAAATATGTTCTTAATGTCTGTGTCTAGGAACTGGTCAGCAGCAAAGGTGCAAAACAGATTTTCTGTCAGACAACAGATGTATTTCCATATATCTTTTTACATGTACATTGAGTATGGTTTTGTTCACAATGGGTCTCCTATCACCAGTCTGAACTGAATGAGAAAACACCCCTATCGTCCTTCACTGAGAAAATAAATGTGTAACGAGTTTGCTTTGTGACAAAGGGGTCTAAGCCAGGATTGTTTGAAAACATTGTAGAGAACTTTGGGTAAAATAAACTTCTTTAGACAGTAGGTTAACCTGTTACACCTCTACCCTGATATAACATGACCCGATATAACACGAATTCGGATATAACGCCGTAAAGCAGCGCTCCGAGGGGGCGGGGCTGCGCACTCCAGTGAATCAAAGCAAGTTCGATATAACGCAGTTTCACCTATAACGCAGTAAGATTTTTTGGCTCCTGAGGACAGCGTTATATTGGGGTACAGGTGTACTTTGAAATTTAGTCTCTAGAAAATGGGTCATGATTTTGTTTTATATGTAACCATTTGTTTCTAATATTTTTACTCTCTATCACTTGAATCTCTGTTTTTTGATAATAAACGTATTCTTGTTTTTACTATAAATGTATCTAACTGCTGTGGTACTAAGCAAAGTGATGATTCTGAGTTGAATCTTGCAAGCTGGTGTGTACTGTTACTTTGGGAACTTCAGGCCTGTTAATTTTGTGAGTGTTCAGTGGATGAACCCTCAGGGCTTGGCGTGTGCCTGTTGCTACCTGTACAGGGAGAACAAGGCCTGCGGGGGTCTGGACGGGACGAGCAAATGTATTCTGAACTATCTGAAGTTTCTGATCAGTTTTAAGATGCAGCATCATAAAAATTGCATTGCAATAATCCACTAGTGAAGTGACATAGATACTATGGTGAAATCTTCACCGGAAAGAAAATGTTGCAGTCTCTTGACCAACTATAGGTGAAAAGATATTCTTGTTCAAATAGCGATCGAGGCCATCTCAAAACAGCTTAAGATACAATAAAATCCCCAAGTTGTCAACTCGAATAACAGATCGCAGACAAATTCCCATGAATGAGGGAGCTGGTATCACTTCCTCAGTTTCTTCTGGTTATTTTTCCCAACCTACCAACAATATCAGAGTCTTAACTGGATTAAATTTTAGTCATCTAGCCCATTTCCAAGGCACAGTACTGGCAAAGACAATGTTTCCTCTGAATTTTCTTTGTGCTGAGTGGGCTATAAATTCCATTGAGTGTTACATTTTTGTCCTTGGGCAAACTTACAATTTATTATTAAGGACAAAAAAAAAAAGAGAGAGGGAGAAATCCCTCACAGAACTGTGTGAGAGCATACAAAGTGGATTGCAATTGCTTTTTAGAAAGATTACATTCTATTGTATAAATGGGTATTTCAGGACTGTTTAAAGTATGGATTATGTAAATGTGTAGTTAAGGACTTTAAAAAATGCGTACTACAATAGAGTATCATGTATGTGTGTGTCCAGGGAGTTTTAAAGACATGTATTATTGTGCAGTAGTGTGCCAATAGTTGAACAGTCAGTTGGAATGTGTGAGATCTTCTTCCACATCTACCCTGTTTCCCCGAAAATAAGACATCCTCCGAAAATAAGGCCTACTTACAGTTTTGCCTCTCGTTGTAATATAAGGCATCCCCCCGATAATAAGACCTCCCCGATAATAAGGCATCCACCGATAATAAGGCATTTTTCATTTCTGAAAAATAAGACATCCCCTGAAAATAAGACCTAGCGCATCTTTGGGAGCAAAAATTAATATAAGACACTGTCTTATTTTCGGGGAAACAGGGTAGTAGCGATGACATCCATAATTAAGTTATGAGCTGTTGCTGACAATAATTTTGTTTGGAATTCTTAAATTCAATCATGAAACTCAGGACCATGTATGAAACTAAAAATATCACATTTGGCATTTGTTGGTACTCTGGATAACTGTACTCATAAACAAAACCAATTTTTGCCATGTTCATGCAATAATTAATGATAATACAAAAAAGGAAAAAAGTCACATTACTGATATTTGAAAATTGGCTACTGTAATTGTTACCGAAGGTATTTTAGGAATGTCTGTGTCACATTCAGGAGCTTCAGCCCTTGAGGGAGCCATCCTACCATCTCCTCCTAGAAGCGCCTATCTCTCCCAACCCCACTCCTTATCCCTCCCTGTTGGCACTGAGAAGTGGGTGCTGAGATGCCCTGTCCTGCCAAGGGAGGGGGGGAAAGCCCATCTGCTACCTACATCCTATTTCTGCAAGTGCTGCTCATTGGGGGTAACTTTATTTCTTGCTGTCCCCTGTCCCTGGGATTTTCCCCTCTGCCACTCTTAGGCAGCACTTCTCCCTCTTTCTTAACCTCCTACCCCATCCCCGATTTTGCCTATCTGCCTCGCTCTTTTCTCTGCTTCCACCTGTTTGACTCCCCTGCACATACAATTTGACTTTCCTGCATAAATTCAGGCCATCCCTCCCCTCCCGTTTGCGCTCTCTGTACTCTGGTAGCCCCCATTAATAGCAGGGAGCCAATTTTAGTTCTGAGTGACGGAAGAATCGGCAGTGGCTTCAGCAAATGTTACGGAGCATGCTCCAATTGCCCAACCAGGATCAA